AAATTTAAAGTTGCCCTTAAAAAAAAAATGGCGCGTTCAGTAAGATTTTCTTTGGGCGTAGCACCGAACGTTTCCTCGAGATGAAATTAGTTTTTCAACACAAACAGCACAAGTGTGACTATTTTTTTCAGGACCATTTAACCTTTTTGAATCATGGCCATGCTTTTTGTGTTCACAAAGCAAGTGCCGAATATGTATCGAGTTTCGTACCATTCTGATGAAGTTAAACAAAAAAAAGGTAAAAAATGAACAGCACCAGAGGGTTAAATTAAGATATATTTACTTGAGATGCAAACTGACGTTATGAAGTCTTGTGTTCTGAAAATGTGAACAAAATGAAATGACGCATTGCGTTTCATTTAGTTTATTCCTTAAATTGTTTTTAATTGCTCTTATGAAGTCTTATACTTACCTGTAGAGCCCTGTAAATGTCTGGTATATTAAATTGTGGTGTAAAGGCAATGAGACAAAGAAGGAGACCGTTCTGATTCAAACTGGTGTTTATTTGCAGTACATGTACAGTTGGTATCATAAGATCCCAGTGCATTCTTTGTAGTAGTGCACTTCTCCGTGTCTGTATGCTGTTTAGCACACACAGAGCTAGCAATTTATAACTAACTGTAGGGCTGGCATTGCTAGCAATTATTACATACCAGCACCAAACCTTAACACGTTGGTTTTTCGAGATATTTTACTGATGCCTTTGAATCAGACTTAAAGTCCAATGGCTAAACATAACAACTTGCTAACATCAGCCACAGAGTTTTGTTTTTGGTAAGATGGGTTATGTAACATTGACAGTATAAGCCAAAGGGGGAAAAAAAAATTCCAGATTTAAAAAGACAAAAACATGAATGAATCTGACAGTACCAAACATATCTCTACCTCTGGGTACATAAAACCAATTAGTCTAGATCTATCGATTACAACTAGCATGGCAGCAGTGGGTATTGCACATGAACTGTAAAAAATGAGTACAAAGTAAATTTACATTTATTTTACTTCTAGGTGAAGTATACATAATGTACAAAACTATGCGTTGCCTACTATTGACAATAGTTCACTTTAGAAATAAATAAATAATGAAATCTGTATTAACATCCATCTTACGGGCAGCTACGTCGCAAAACAAAAAAAATATGTAGAAATTTAGAGTGAGGTAGTTCATCAAAGCCTACTTTGATCTGAATTATAACATTTTTGAGAGATGAGATAAAAGCAAATTAAAGTTAAAATTCATTAACTTCCCTAAAGAGAGCAAAGAAAAGTTAAGAGCACTTAACACGGATAAAACAAAATGCAACTCAAATGAAAGAATATAGTTATGCAAACTCAAACCTTCGGTTCCTACACTCTCTGTGTCTCATGTCTGTCTCATCTGTGTCTCTCGTCTGTGTCTGTGACTCATCTGCGTCTCTCTGTGTCTCATGTCTGTCTCATCTGTGTCTCTCGTCTGTGTCTCTGTGACTCATCTGCGTCTCTCTGTGTCTCATGTCTGTCTCATCTGTGTCTCTCGTCTGTGTCTCTGTGTCTGCTTCGTCTCTCTGTGT